GAGGATACTGTTTGAGGTTGGTTGGTGAGTTTCTTATTTCGAGGATATATTTGGTTGGTGAGTTTCTTATTTCTCGGTTGTGTCCTCCTGTTCAAGTTTCTAGAACATAATTGGCAGGGTGGACATTCGATGCTCGAAGCAATGGAAGGATGGTTTGCCTTGTTCCATTTTTCTTTTTCTTTTTTTTTTCAGAGGGAGGGTTATGCGATTTAAATTTCATAGTATGTTCATTAGTTGTTATGCTATTTTATAGATAGTTAAATTTGGTGTCTAATGCGTCTCTTTCGAGCATGCATTTCCTAGTGTTTTTGACAGACAATAATAAATTTGGTTAACGAATTTGTGTTTTTATGAACCGACAATTTTGTCCCTCCATTCCGTTAGCTTGACTAGCAAAAATTATGTTGTCAATCCAATTATAATCTTATGAAAGCAACGCAGCATCACTAGCATCAAAAAATCTGGAAACAATCGCCTTTTAATTGATCTCGACTCATGGCTCAATTTCTCCATAGATAAGAAACTTCAATAGGGAAATATGTGCATGTAATAATAATAGGGGTGACAACAAGTCAATCAAATTCAAATATTAGTGGACTCGAGTTTGAGCTTAAACGTATTTATTTGAGCTCAAGCTCCATGAATACTATATTCATAAGTTCGAGCTTGACTTGGATAAATTTTTAAGGAGCTCGAGCTCAAATTAAGCTCAAACTCGAATTGAGTTTGAGTTTCTAAATAATAATCAACCGTAGGATTAATGAAAATTTTGTTAATTTCTCTGTTTTAAATAAATAAATAAATATATATGTATATGTAAAAAGTTAAATACTTTAAAGTGTAAAATGAACTCAAAAAATGGATCGAATAGTTTGAACTCGAGCTCAAGTCGAGCATGTCAACTAAGTTGTTCAGTTCGTTGCCACTCCTATTTGATAGGGTTTCGAAGATTACTACTTGTGGATTCCCTATGAGAAGTCCAATAATAAATCGTAATCCAGAATTTTTGATCAAGTTCCTCTACAAGTTCTGTCGGAAAAAAAAAAAATTTTCTCTCTACAAAGCTGGTACCGGATATAAATTTTAATTTTTTTGCAGCAGCAATGATCCTGCATTTCAGGCCTGGCCCGTCTTACACAAACCAACCCAAAAATTACAAAGACTTCCTTAGCTCCAAGAGAGTGGGTTCGTTTTGTTTAGGATCCAAACAACATCTTCTCGTCTGATGATTCAAACCATATCAGTCCGCCATATCTTGGAAGACTGGTTCAATTAGAATTCTTATTCCTTCTCTTCTAAAGTTGGATCCAAAGAAGATATAAATTACCTTCCATCATTAAACATCAGTGGTGGACATGGGCCACGTTCAAATAAAAAGATTTTAACCTATACAACTAAAATACAAATAAAAAAAAAAACAGTTGTTTCATATCTATTCATTTGAACTGCTTATGCAATTTAATGGTTCGTGCAATAACGATGTGAATTAATTACCCTGCATCATTAAACATAATATTGTTACTTATGTAACTATAGAATACACCACCAAATGAGTTTGTAAACCAACCCTATAATCGTATTTTTCAAATTGCTTAACTTTCTAAAGCAAAGGATACATGTTCGTTTAGTGATATAAAGTGTTTAATAAATAACCAGATCAAGTAATTTTTACACCCGAAAATTCTCAAATCTTAGCCTAGATACAAATTTTTCCTATTTTTGGATTTTTAAGAATTGGCTTCCAAGCTTATTGTGTCAACAAAATTTGATACATGACAATTTGGAACTTAAAATCTTCTTAAAATTAGTTGATTGGAGCTCTACTTGATGTGCTCATCCCAAATCTTGTGCTAATTTTGTTTATAAAGCTGATTAAGTCAAGTGATAGAATGAGTTTTTTTTATATATATATAAAAAAATCAAATGCAATTATATTCAAAGGAAAAAATGGATTTGAGCTGGTAAAAGGTTTCAAAATTGTATATTCCAAGTTAGCAAAGGGTTTAAAAATTGTATACTGCAAGTCAAGTCATCCCTTCGTAATTCTTATTTCAGCTTTAAGGAAAAGAACAATACAACATAGAGGCAATATATATATATACGTATTCACACACACACACACATCAGGTAAACGTAAGTGCAAGTTGAGAACTTTTGGTCTATAATTCACTTTCTCAAAAGCGCAGGCAAATTATTTTAATGGAAATCTATTCAAGTAATATAGTGTATTTATTAGCCAATAGTCAGTGAAAGTCAACCAAAATACTTTGAAAAATAGTTAACCGGGAAACAAGTTTCCCTGTTTGTGAATTATTTAAATTGATAGAACGCCGCATCAGACCATGGAACAGCAAATTAACAAATTAATCTCTTTTACGGGTTAATAAAAGTGAAACTAAGAATTATTCTGTGGCAACTTGGTGTGATTCTATTATTGTTTAATGGTGAAATTTTTTTTTTTTTTTGCCCGCACGGTTCATTCCCCATTGACTTAGTAATTACAGAATTTTAATGACATCATAAAAGAGCACACTTATAAATAATCATGAGATTATATATGCATATTATTAGTGCAAGTCAATTTGAAAAGTAATAGAATTACCATTCAATTGAACAAATTTGCTTTTTGTTTCTACAAATACAATAATTGCAAACTGATTCAATGCCTAAGATTAGTCAACAGATATATTGTCAATGCTTAATAATTCATAGTTGAAGGCCTGCAAATAAGGGGGGTTTGAGTTGGGTGACAAGATAAGCGAAATTGTAAGTAAGAGGTCTTAAATTCAAGACCTCCTACTTACAAAGACTAACAATGACTAAGAAATATGAATGAACAAAAGTAAGAGAAGGCTTTCCCTTATTTTACCGGATAATCTCCTTATGACCATGAATTCCACTATTTCAGCATGTTCTTCCCCAATAATTCTTATATATCCATGGTTTTCATCATGGCACAACTAATTTGAAGCAAATGATTTCGTACCAAGACCTTATCTGAGGGAGGGAAAAAAACACAAAATCAAGCTTATAAGTGTCTCTTTTATTCTTCAAAATTTGAAAACAATAAAAAAAAAAAAAAGGAAAGGAAAAACAGCAGTGCCTATTAAAAAAACTGAAATTGGGAGAAAACAGAGAAGGGGAAACTGTAACCAGATTCACTTTCCAACTCTCTTACAAATTACCTTGATTCATACTGCTTAACCACCATTTCTCAAGATTTGAGAACACATGTGGAAAATGTTAAAAATGATGTATCATTAATCAAGTATATATCCCTAAACAAAATCCCAACCACCAGCTCCCTTCTTTCTTCATCAGACAAAAAAAAAAATTTTTTTTTTTGGGTTCATTTCCATATTTTTTGCTGCTCTATAGAAAGTCAATCCCTTTTGCCTCATTTCACAGCTATAACTTTCACAAATTTTCCAACTTGAGCTGCTTCGAGCAGTTTGAAATTCAAGATAGTTGTATGCAGTTTGCACATATCTCAGAAGTCAAGGTTTGTGAATAATTCAACCCGACCGCCACACTGACCCGACTCTATTATAATTGCCTTTGTCTTTGAGCTGGTTCAGGGTCAAAGTCTTCCTTTCTGTTTTTGATTTCTTCCGTCGATGCTTGTAGAATTTTGTCAGCCGGCGAACCGGGAAGGTCAGCCGGTTTACTAGTTCGGAACCTCCCACAATAAGGCATGAGTTGCCTAATAGCCAAGAAGCTCTTGAAGCCAAAAACAGTTTCTTCTATTTTCGCAATTTCTCCACGTGCAAATAGATTTTTCAAAAAATTATTAATTTATGAATTATGACTACATAAATTTTAAATATTCATTTTACACTTTTGTCATTAAAAAGGCATTTTTGTGAAGTAATAAATCTTTTAACAGTTCAATACAAAACTCAGACGTTCTGATCCGAAAAGCATCCTAGAACAAAATTATATCCACCCTTTATGGTAAAAATTAAGCTATACGTGTCAAACCTCATATTGTTTGGAGTGATCACTATATGTAAAAGAAATTTTTATTGTATCGTAAATACATTTTTCTGTCATCTTATAATTTCACATATATCATATAAAAAGTACTAAAATAAGAATGTGGGGGAGAACGGAAGGGTTAAAAGGAAGTTTTTTTTTTTTAAAAAAAAAAGGGCTAAAATAATATTTCAATTTTTTTTCAAGTAATCTTCTACCAAATACACATTGTTCCTTAAACTCCAAGGCTTTGACTTCTCCAATTTCCCATTGTTCAATCTGTCCCTACTCAGCTCTCTATTTAATTACAAAAATAAGTCATCAAACTAGGAAACAAATCAAATTATTGTGGCCAGATTCGGACGACAAAATAATGTACTTTCTTAAACTACAAGATCAATAAATTATTGGGTCTGTCGACTATTTCTATACAAACTTTCACTGAATCAGTATAAACAGGTTGACCCGGTTCTTCATTTTAATATTTTGAAGCACATTTGTCTTTCATCAACCGTGACTATGAATCATAATCTCTGGTGTAACAACTGACTCAGTTACCCCGAATACAAACTAACATTCAACAAATAAGCAATAAAATGCAAATGCTTGCTTTGTTGACCAAGTAAACCGACGGAATTGTAAGCTAAAAAAATCAAATACGTAGCTGAAGTAATCAATACGGTACCTGTACTACAAAATATATACACTTTTATATATACTTGCAAGAATTACGTATATAAATTATGTACAAACATTTCGGTGTATATGTATCATGTAAAAGTAAAAGGATAGGTTTACTTGCCACACCGGCAACTGCGTCTGGCTAGGTTAACAACTGCTTTCCGGTAAACCCTAACATTTCAACAGCACATGCCTGGCTGAAAAATGTCAACGGTCAGAATGGTTGGCTAGTCCAAATTATAATAATCTTTATTTTTAGCCGTACAATTGATCTTTCTCAACTGTTTCCTATATATCAGACTTTGATCTTCTCTCCTTCGATATATACGCCCTCAACAAACAAACATCTCTAGCTAGTTTGTTCCTTAGTTTTTGGTCATATATATTGTAGCTAGCCTCATTCTTAGGTACATACACTAGTTGGCTCCCAAAGTCATGGATCCAGTGAATTTTTTCCGTGAAGAACCAAGAAGGGTGATCAATGGTCCTCGTCCATCACCATTGAGGATTAACAAGGATTCTCATGTTATACAGAAACCATCTTCGATGAATCAAGTTTACAAGAAGGCTGCGACGGAGCAAAATACTAGGTTGAGTACTCAGCAGCCGAGACAGCCCGTGATTATTTACACTCATTCTCCTAAGATTATTCATACAAAGCCTAAGGATTTCATGGCTTTGGTGCAAAAACTTACGGGTTTTTCGCGGTCCGAGGAGCAAATTGTTGAAGCTGAATCTAAGAGGGATGATCAAACAATTACCATCAGTCAAGAGGATAATGACTCGTCTTCGGTTACAAGTGATGACAAGTATGAAGGTGATAATGCTAGTGATGTGATTAAGGAGAGCTCATCTGCAGTGTCCCCTGTTAACAAAGGCCTAAATCCATACTTAACTGATATCCCTCTATTTACTCCAAACTCAAACTTATTTTCTTCACCTCAGCCTGTTTTCAGATACCCTGATGTGGTATTTACCTCCCCAAATATCGTCAGTTCGCTGTCTCCTTCGTTTGTGGAGTTCATGAAGGGTCTTCCGGAGTACTGATTGGAGTCTCTTGGATATGGTGATGGAAGTATACTTGGTCGGGTCCTTCCTCAAGTTGGTAGAACAGTTTTCTTGTCCATAGGTTTGACTTCTTGTTGTTTTACTCTTTCATTTTCGTATATTGTTGTGTTGATAAAGTTAGTTTACTGATTAGATGCTAATTAATCACTTAATGAGCGCCAAACCATGTGCACGTTACAGCGGTCGAATCATTCTTTAGGTATCCATGTCAAAATTTATCTCTGAATGGCTCTTTATTTATTTAATTTTCTGTTTACCGTTCCATTCTTAGTTTCATAGGTGATATACCTTATATACTGCATTTGGATGCTCATACTTCAAAATTTAGGTATAAATTGGCAATAATAACTTACAAAAATAAATAATAAAGCATATTTTGACAAAAATTAGTTTACATCATTGAGGTTGCAGGTCGAACGATTTAACTTCTCACTGGGATTTATAGGATGCTTAGATTTAATTGAACTTTGATCCGTTCACCTTTTGAAAGTTGTTAGAATGCACATATAACTTCACATGTTGTATATCCCAAATGCGGGGCATTTTTTTTTTTTTTTTTTGATTGAATTGCTTGGACAGTGAAGAGCTGGAGAAATTTTTTTAGTTTATAATGGATTTCCAGATAAGGATGAAGGGGTCATTGCATTCAGAATTTGTGGTGTCATTTCTCAATTCTGGGTTTCCATACTTCTCGAAAGAACATAATAATTAAGATATCGCATTCCAAGCTGATTCCCAAAAAAAAAAAAAAAAAAGAGTTACAAGAGAAATCATCTAGTAATATTTGAGGAACACTTCTTCTCAATCTCTTCCCCCGGTTTTTTTCTTCCTTTTTTTTTGTGGGTTGGGGGGTGGGGGGTGCCTGTGATCTTCCTGGGTAAGACATATTTGTATTTGACTATTTGCAGAGGTGACAGGGCGGTGGATGATGGGATAGGATATTGAAGTTGGATAAACATATTTTCACTTAACTATTTGCAGAGTACGTCGCATATACTAACTGTTTAATTAAAAAAAAAAAAAAAATTTTGATGCAAAACAATTTGTATTTGACCGTAATCAAATTCTTTGGATCGCATTTTATGCCTGAGTCAAAGAAAGTACATATCAAATATGCACCCAATAAGAGTTAAACCAAAGTTGATAATTGAATTGAAATTGCATTTAGCTAATCTGCATTGCCGTGTAAAATGGCACATTGACAAATGCCGGAATGTAACATCAAAATGCCACTTTTATCTGGTTGTGTGGATTCATCATTTCAACAATCTAGATTTCAAAAACCGGAATGTTGAAATATATGCAGGAACAGAAAAAGAATTCTGGAATTTTCTATACTTTGTAGCTACGTAAAATTGATTCATTGGACAGATCGATTCAGTATTGAGAAGTTGTATCAGATGTCCTCAATAGCTCTAAGAATGAAAATAAACGAGGATTGCCAAATAAATGGCAAAGTCATTCGATTACATCAAATGTACTTACCAATTAAGTCAGGTCCAAATGACAGGGGAACCGAACGGTAGTTATCCCATCTGCACAGTTCTTAAAGAGTATCATATGTGGTCAGCGGAAATGTTATTGCTGGAGCAAGTTCTTGATTGTTGGACCAAATAGTACGAAGTTCTTACCTCCCATCCCATAATTCATTTTTATTAAAGCGTTGTCTTTCTTTGCACACACACACACACAAATATAAATATATATATTATTAGATTTTTTCTTTTTCTTTTTTTGGAACAGAAAAGATAGAATATTATTAGTATTTGACACACAAACTTTTTTTTTTTTCTTTTGGGTTCAATGTAATAGATGGAGATTCTTCGTGTTCCTCAGGCTTCCAAGTTAGCCAGCTGAATGTCGATGTGCTCTTCATTTTTAGAAAATTTTCATTCCTACGTAAGAGCTCAAACTACCATTTTGGATCGATAGTTTTGATGAAACAAATAAATTGATGCTAGACAACAGCGTCCCAAGAGAACAATCTTCAATTGTTAATTCGCAAGACAAATTAAATCCCATCTTATTCTTTTCTGCAATCGCAAGACTAAGATATTCTGATTCCAAATATTGATAAGTTCAAGAGGACCAATGTTCTACGATTCGATTCAGAGGTTTTGATCTTCAAGTAGAACAACTAAGATGTTGCAAGCACAGCAAATAGCTTCTCAAGCCAGGTTATGCAATAAGAGTGGATTCTGGGCGTCCGTCGTCAATTTTTTTGAATGGCTAATGCAGCAAATTTGTCCTGGATTTTAACATCTCAAGAAAAACCCATTACCAAAACACAAAATAATGATCTCAGGTACCTTTTTAGTTTTTGATGTAAAAAAGAACGAGCTCATAGCTTGCATAGTCAGTCATTTAGAAACAGTTGTATAGCTTCGATGAAACAAGGCACAAATTTTCAGTCAGAAAGACGATTATCGTCTAATTATGAATCAAAATTTGTTGTAGGATCTGATTACTCTTCGGGTTAGCGTAGAGGTTTCGTTTCTCGTCTCGAATATGGATCTATATATATACATACTAAGACCTTACGACGAGATGTAATTTCTAAATGTAAATGATCGTATGAAGCAAAAAATATATATATACGTATATTGTGATATTGGGCAAGGGCAGAGCCATGACCGCACAGTAAGTGGAGTCAGATTTTAGTACAATAAAACTTATTTTTTGTCAAAAAAATGAAATAAAAACTACTAATATTACGCATAGATTATAATTGTACCCTACGACTACTCATTTTTTTAAAACATTACAAAATCAATCCATTATCAATTTTGTTGAATATATCTTTTCCAATGTAAGTAATTGAATGTCTTGATTTCTTTTAAATAATTTGCAAACTGCCATCAACTTGATATTCTATGGGTTTCTTTTACGAAATTTATCTTTACCTTGTTATAAATAAAAATCATTGTAACTTAATTTCATATTACAAATAAAAAATTTAGCATCCACCTGAAAATGTCTTGTTTTTGGAAACTTTGAAGTTTGAAAAAATTGGTTTTCCCACTCCACTCAAAAAAGTTCATCCCTTGTTATTGGAAATTTTGAAAGAATTTATTCTCGGACTAACTTTCATAAATAACTTGAAATAAATTCAAAATTATTATGATGGTAAGAATTATGAATTTCCAATTATTGGGGATCAATGTATACAGAAAAGAGAATTTGATAAAATTTAGTGGAGTCAAATAAGACGCAACATCAAAATTTTCTAAACCTAAAAACATTCTCAAAGTTAAGAGTGGTGAATTGACCCCACTAACTTGCATGTGGCTCTGCCACAATACATGTGGATTGTGAAATTGTGGATCATTTCTTCTCCGACATATAATCGAGTAGTGATACTTTCAATCCAAGCATATATCCATCGGCACCTTAACTTATTCCTGATCGCTTGTAAATTTGAATGAAATGTTGGAAGATTATCAATCATGTTGCCGCTGTTCAGAAAATGGTAACGCTATTTTTACGTACCATATACCATCTTGCAGGTCCTAGTCATCTGTATATATACATAACAAATTAACGGTTGTTACCTAAAAGTTTAAGGAATCAAACAGAATTGTGATGCATCAGTCTTTTTGTGTTTCTCGTTCTTCAGACCAGAGGTTCCTAGAAAAAATTGATTAAAAAAAAGTTTTCGTTGGGATTGTGTTTTTTGAAAATTATTGTAGAAATTTTTTTTGAGATGTAATGTACTAGTGTGAGATAAAAATATTGTTTTGATAATATATATATATATATGTCAGGATCACTAGTGTGCATAGCATAACAGTCTTTAAAAATAAAAATAAAAATAAAAAATAACAGGGGAGGGAGAAAGGGGGAATTAAATTGAGGATCTCTAATTCTTAAAATCTCAACCATAATGCCACTCAAAAACCAAATTAACAAATTAAGCTTCTTAGGACTTTTACTAAAAATAAAAGGAAAAGAAAAACTCTTACTAGAAGTTCAGTGATAGATGTGAAACTGAAGTTTCTTCCTTTTTTGTAATAAAAGCCCAAACTTCCATCACAAATTTCTCTACCAAACTTGTATCAAGACACGTACGTGTAACACATGATTTAGATAACTTGGGAACATGACGACCCTTTTATTGTTGGAATCGTGTGAAGTTATGAAAACGTCCAAATGGAGGAAATATTTTCAAATGAGTGAATTTGAATTGAATGTAGACTTGAAATCCTTGGAATAAAAATTCCTTGTTTGATTCAGAATTTTCATAAAGTGACAAGAATTTAGAATTAACAAAAAAGAAGTTGGGGTAAAAGAACAAGAGATAGAAAGTCTAGGGATTGAGTATCAAAATTCCGGTCTTTGCTTCCTTCTCCTCACATTTGATGCCCCAAAGCTCGACTGCTGCTTATGTTCCCGTCTGTCTCTAGCAACAGCACCAATTATGGTAGCCAACGTCGATTCTCTCATGTGGACTTGCATTTTTTTTTTCTTTTTAATAAGAATCCTCAAATCGCACTCACCACAACTCTTTATGAGTTCACCTTCACAAACAATTGGAGAGATTGGCGTACGTGATTTCTGGTGGTCATTTACTTGATCAAACACATGCAAAGATGAATATATTGGGGCAGATTGAGAGAAATTGAAAAGAAAAATTTTCAAATGCACCTAGTTTAGTCTTTTACATGAATCTAAAATCACCGATTTTAAGCTTTAAAATTCCTCTCCTTAGTAACTATATCTCAAATATAAATATCTCCTAATTTACCCAAACAGCACTCGACGATATGGATTTCAAATCCCTACCCAAATCCACCAACACAAACAGTCCCTAAAATTATTCCTCCAGAAATTTTTAACATTAAGCACTCCCAAAAGATGTGCATGGTAGTAAGAGACATGCTTACATTTTTTCTTCCCAAATTTTTGGTGACTTCGGGAATTGTCTCGTAGATGTTAGGTATGCACATAAATTAACTATAGGGCAAAATGCTTCAATGACCCTCAAACTATTATAAAATTCAATTTTTGGTCATCAATTATTAAATCTCTAAGTAATTAAAATGTGTATTCATAACTCATCCGTCAACTTGAGTCATTATATTCGACACAACAGTGAAGGTGGTGCCTGACACTTTTGTGCTGTTTTTGTTTTTAGTTTTTTTAAGTAAAATTGTAAAATTTTATTGATAGAGAACGGAAGCATATACAAAGTAATACTCCCCCGTCCCACTTTGATAGTCTTGTTTTCCTTTTTCGTCTGTCCCAAATTGTAGCCCACTTTCCCATTAAGAAATGTAGTAATCTTTCAAATTGTCTAAAATACCCTTATTATTAATACATTGTTATTAAATACTAACCCACTACATTGAATACATTGAATTTTTCCAATACTAACCCATTAGCTGTAACTGATATTAATTGGTACTCTTCGTGATTAGCATAAGGGTATTTTAGGAAATTATTAATCTAAATTTATGTTTCCAACCAAATTAATTACACTTTCTTAATCTGTGTGAAAAAAAAACCAAGACTAATAAAACGGGACGGAGGGAGTATATACAAAGTAGCTATCTGTACATCAATGACTCTCTATGGCTTTTTAGAACCCAAATTTCTATACAACTGTCAAACTCTATCAAAGCATTTACGAGAAATACCCCACTCAACAATCAGCGACCAAATGTCCTGAATCTTTGGCACATCTCTCCATGAGGCTCCAATATATTGGATGGTATCAATGATCTGACCGACTATAGCCACAGTAGATACATTTTCATTTTGGAAATAGTATCCGATTCCTAGCTTTCTAGATGAAGTACACATTCTATCTTCGGTATATAGTCTGTTCTTACATAACAACCAAAGAATAAATGAGAATCTTGGATTAGACCCCTTATCCCATACAAGTTTATGCCAAGAGACTTTTTGTGAAGTGGGTCTAACGATCTTTACAAACCATCCTCGGTGTATAGTCTATTCTTGTGCTATTCTTGTTAGACATGACTCAAATAGATGGAAGGATTATATATATACATTTAAAATAATTTGAGAGATAAAACTGTCCATTTAATAATTAAAGGGCCAAAAGTGCTGATAATGATTTGAGGGCCACCGACACATTTTACCCCTATATACATATATATATATATATATATATATATAGGCCATCGAAATTAAGACTAATCTTTTGTTGCATTATGGAGTAGCTACGTTCAACCAATTGCTATTTTACAAGCCACGGCGCTATTCATTCACCATCTTAATACTTTTACAAAAAAAAAAAAAAAAAAAATTCTCTTCTAGACTTCTAGTTCACTAGTGGATGTCAAACTCAATAATCGTACATAATAAAAGCCGAAACTTCCATCATCATAAAATTTCTCTGCGAAACTTGTGACATTTTTTAGCAAAACGTGCAGCACATGTTTCAGATAACTTGGGAGAGTCGGAAGTCAAAATGTTGCACAAGAAGATTGAAGAAAAACTATCGAGTGAGTGCTGCAGAGTTTGACAAGAAGCCCTCTTTATGGTTGGAATCGTAAAGTTATAGGAAGAAGTTGATCCATGAGAATAAATAACAAAGACCTTAATTTCTACGTAAAATGCCTTTCACGTTGTCAACGTAACGCTTGAAAGTAAATTTCCTCCACTTTGATGTCAAAATTAAGTTGGGCTTTTTTTGCTTTCACACCCATCTTTGTACGAATTGACTGTGACAATTCATTACTCAATTATCCCACGAAGAAAATGGATGCAAAGAAAGAAGAAAGAAAGAAAAGGTTTGTTTCATTGGCATTTGGCCCCTTCTAATCTCCATGGGACAGTTTCCTCACTTCCCCGCATACAGTTGGCAAAAATGTGAAAGCTGATCACAGGACCAACTACCTGGTCGGTGCCTCGGCGATCACATGGTATTCTCGAGGACGGAAAAGTTAGTACTGTTCTAGGATTCAAAGTCCAGAAGTACCAAGAATGGTGGTCTAATTTCGGATGAGCACATTTTGGTCCAATCAGTTCAATTTTTACAAAGCTCATTAATTTTATAGAAGAAAAATGTTTTGGTTTCTCTCTCTGTGTGTGTGTTTTTTTTTGTCTTTTTTTTTGGGGGGGGGGGGGTGTATTATCAAAATCTGATGTTACATTTCATTTGTATCGAGTTGTGGTTGATGTTAGCCACTTGTTTTGATTGTTTTTGACCATTAATTTATCAAACTCCTGAATTAATTGGGTAGTCAAAGTAACGAACCAATTAATCAACATTCAAAATTGGCAAGCCAATAGATTGGTCATTTTGAGTGGATTTTATCATTAATGACCGAAAGAGAGAGGTTTTACTACATAATAGTAATTGATAGCAATTGCAACTTAACCAAAAAATAATAATGCTAATAATAATAAGCGGACAGTAACAGCCAGTCCAAAAGTATTTAATGAATTGAAAGGAGTTACAAATTCTTGACATCAACTTGTGCTTATGACAACCTAAAACATACTCCTCCTGGACTTTAGATTCTGCTAAACTGATCGAGGTTTCACTCATCTAATCGGCCTCGAATATTGCTTGCAAGTCACAACCAATATTACTAAGATCGATAATTAAAAGGTGTACTAACAAAAAAAAAATTTGTGACTCCAACAAACTTGGTACTTCAGACACAAGTGGGAATAGAATAATAACTATTTTAGTACCCTTTGGTTAACAAATTAGTTGAAAAACAAAACTAGACGTCTTCTCTTTTATTTTTCAGTAGAGATGGATTTGGATTTAAGAAGCAAAAGAGGAAAAGATGATTTGAATCCAAAACCTCTAAATTTTGAGATTTCAATCACTAAACCAAGATTTCATCGATTGAGAGACATCTTCTTAATTATTCTACTTATAAATTTGTATCATTTGTACATAACAAAGTAGTATTTGTTTCCGGTTCAACTTTTATTTTTTCCATTTTCCTTCTCTTTTGAAAGGTTTGTCATTTTCACTGAAACCAAAACAAAGGGAAAAAAAAATTACTCTCTCCATCCCATACTTTTTTTTTTCTTGGATGTTCTGAAATATTCCTATTTGAATTACAATTTTTCTGAAAATTTTGTATAAAATGTACGGTAGGAATTTGATATATGTAAGATAAAAAGTTGATTGAAAAATGTGTTCATAAAAAATATAGAAATTTTTTGGTGGAAAATGGCTTTCCAAACAAGCCCAACCAAATTCAAAGTAACGTTTTTTGTGATGTTTTTCTAATATTATCCTCACCTTTATCTGTATTTCATATTAAATTTAAATTTGAATTTTAAATTTTAGATGATAATTTTAAAAATAAATTCACTAACACCACAATAAAATCACTATTTTTAAAAAAGTTGGGTAGATGAGTACTAACTAATGAGATATCTAATCAATAAATTACTTCTGCGTCAAAAAGAAGGAAAAAAAAAAAGAAGAAGAAGAAGAAGCTAACCAACCGAAAGACCAAAGCCAACAACCATTAAGATAATCTTGAGTGTTCTTATCTTAAGACTAGAGATTTTCTGGCTGTGCAAGGCACAGCCAATGCCCAATATATAGTGTCAAAAATATTGAGAAATTTGCTGGTATTCTCATTTCTTTAAAGAATGACATGTAAATTCTTGGCAAGTTTTATGTAGTGTCTATGCAAATGCGTAACTCGGAGAAATGAGCGCATATGCAATATGAAAAATAAACATGAATGAAGAAGACAATAAACTCAAGTTAATTAACTCACAGCACACAATGTTTCTTTCATGCAGAAAGATACACACTCACGTATGATTCCAGATTTTTACAATAATTTGTACAGCTCGATCACATACAATTCCACAGTTTTACAATAATTTGTACAGCTTGCAGAAGAATTATGACCAAAAAAAATTCAAATCTTTGGCTAATTCAAGCATGTTGGACTTTGAATTACCAAATATTGATAATAAAGATATCTAGACAACACCAAAACAAAATTAACTGAATCGTAGAACAATGGTGCGTAACTTTACAAACACTTTGAAATTCCTTGCAGCCCAAATGTTTGATGGCAAGATGTGACGTTCATTGCAGCCCCAAATGGCACCATGCGAATAATAGCTTTCGCACACCACTTTGAAATTCGTTCATAGAGTCCTAACAATGTGAGGATTGATATTAAAAAGGTCATCTTTAGTCATTGCTAGTTTCCTATGAACTCGAACAGGAATGATTAGAAGGTCGATGCTAGTGAGGGCATCCTGCAATTTCCCTTTCTTTACAAAACCATGCAGCTAGAAATGTAAACCATAGATAATCAGTATATGCGAAATTCAATAATTTAGAACATAAGAATTTATATAGCACAAAAAGGGACATCTCAATTTTCACTCATTGAATTTCATTTTATCAAATTCCTGATCCCTGGATTTACCAACAAAGTTAAGGTAAAGTGAAGTAAGATGAGATAATGCTATGATGCTGCAGTCTTTTCGTTGACCTTAAGGCCAATTATGTGAAGAAAAGCTTACTGATAGGTTGTGTCCCCTGATAGAAGCAGCAACTTTGATTGCAGCAAGTAGGTGATCTTCCTTGATCATACTCGTTTGCTTCCAGTACATATAAATCTATTGATTAGCCAACCTCACCATAATCGTATAAAGCATACGTTCAATTAATAAGTGAGATCAAACGAACCTACAACTGAAAAAATTATGAATAATAGATGAAATATAACAAAACTTAAGCACAAACATTATAGCGTGTAGTCAAGGAAGAGGAGAAAGTGACCTGAAATTGAAGCAATTCCTTAGTGCAAATCTGTGAACCCCAAATAAAAGGCTTTTCTGCACCAACACTTTCAACTTGTAATTAAATGAGTGCAATAAAGTAGATATATGGAGAAACATATGTAAATTTTTAACTTATATGAAAAGTAAACCGCTCATTTGGAACGTATAGAAGTACTGCACATATTATTGATTGCTAGAGAAGCTTATATGACATATGAGTATTAGAATGCACTACTCTATCAAAAGATATTGGAGCAATGGATTCTAATACTGCATTTTCAGCTTGACAAAGTCATGAACCTAGGCTTTACAGGTTTATGGTTCTGGTAATAGGAGTTGTTAGCAGGTGAGGGAGGAGGTACTAATTCTAAGTATTAGAATGCATTGCTCTATCAAAAAATATTGGAGCAATGGATTCTAAAACTACAATTTAGGCATGATAGACCTGCTAAGTTCTTCTCTAGCAATATCAAAAGGTTTTAGTAAGGGTTGGGGAGTGTTCAATTCCCTTTTCCTTCCTGTTTTGGTTTCTTTGTTGGGCTGGCAGCAGTTTCGTCGATTGGGGTGGTATTTGGTGAAGCTGAGGTAGCAGTGTCTTCAAGCAGTTTGTGGCTGGTTGTTGCAGCAGTTGTTGATTTAGTGATGAAGCTTTTTTTAGTAGCAGTGGATTCGGCTATTTCTTGAAGGAGCAACTTGGCTGTTGGTGTGAACGTTTGTTGTTCTATGACTTGTTTTTGCTTGGTGTTTGATGTTGTTCCAGTTTCTGAAGCTTGGAGAGTTGGTGGTGAATCTAATAGAGCCAATGATATGTTGGGGACTTCAGCTGTTGGGTAGGCTTTGATGATTGCATTTCTTCTTTGAAGTTGTCCTTGAAAAGTTGTCTCATATGTTTTGATAAAACAGATCAACCTGTACTTTTTCATGATGGCAGAGAGTTCTTGGTTCATTGTTATTCCCTGAAATGATAAGCATCAATGTGAGTGTTTATATATTAGTATTTCTGTATATAAATGTTGAACGAAAACTTGAAAGTTAGGTGTGCTGGTGTACATGTGCCTCTGCATCCTTAAGCTGCGCAGCAGTCAATTGTATCAGTCTTTCAGCTTCTTTTCCAGATATTAAGCATTGAATGCTTGCAGTTGGATCGGTCACTGTTATTCCAATGCGACACCTTATGTGCAATGTCCGAGTTTTAGTTTATTGTACAATGTATAGTATAAAAGAGTTAATTTTAAACAGGCTAGATGAGAAACAATACCTTAGTTCCACTTTGGCTTCTTGTCTGCATGATGAACATTTTATGATCCAATCTGTATCTGCTTCTGGAGCTTATAAGCATAATACTCTCGCACGGAAACGAAATCTGGATCTTCTTGAAAGCTACTCATTACTGTGTAAAGTGAGAAGAAAATTTTTTATTAGTTGATATTTTTGTGAAATTTTACATTAAAGAGTGCTGATTAATAAACTTGTATTTACTTACCAGCCTCTTCATTCTCAAGTAATTCATCTACATTAGAGACATTGATGGGGCAAATAGATTCGGTTGTAAGTTTTTTTTTTCTCAATCTCTTAGTTTGTGCCTTTATTCCCTTTTTCGGAATGCCTTGGTGCCATCCTAGATCACCAAAAGGAAACATTAGTGGGTATTGAAGTGGATCATAACATCCATAATAATATTGAATATTTTTTGAGGTCCCACTATGAGTGTGCACTCTAATGTCTCGCTTTCCTGTTTGACTATTGTCTTCACCTTCAATCCACAAAGCTGCTACTTGTGAGCTTGTAGGTTTATTATAGACTCTCTGGTCTAGACCAGGAATGCTCTTTAGGACAATGTGATAATTATCAAGATTAGGCACTCCACTTAAAGTTCGAAAAAATTTAGCGTATGGATTGTTTTCCAACACGCACATGAGTTTCTTAACTAAAGTTTCTGATAACCTGGGGCAAGATGCTATTCGATTGGCTAACTCAATTTCAGGATCATGAAAATATAATTGAAGGTTTTCGCCATGATCATTGGCTGAGTTTAAGTTGTTTAAAAAATGATAAATTTGCCCTTGAATTCTAAATGTATAGATTCCTTTATTTCTTCTACAGAGTTTCTTGTCATATTTAACACCAAAAGAGGTGACACCAAAGTGGTTGTTATAAGTTCTAATCATAGTTCTAAAGGTTTTTGCTTTTTCTGAAGTTGAAGTTAAGAGCTCTTTTAGAACATTAGGGAGTTTATTTTGAGAGAGAACTACTTCACCGCTGGAACAACAGAAATTCATTGTCTCAGAATAGAATTTCTTTGCTCCGCAATGCTGACACTGCGGCTCCAATGGTAACCTATCAGGGTAATCAGGTATGAACCTTAGCAAATCTCTTCCACTCGGATGCGTCTTACCTATAATGTGATTTGCATTCATTGATTAGTAATTCTAAAATCTTGCAAATTTTTGTATCCTAAAATTGAAGAGAAGTGAGTATAAAGCTGAATGGTTATTATTGGAGGATTTCTTTGATGATCGAATCAATGATTTTTCAGAAGAATTATTGATAGTGTTTATTTCATATTGACTGTATTAAAGATGGTCTGAAAGTTTTTATGAATTTAGAAAAGATGGTTTGAAAAGGTGTTTTAAACCTTTTTTTGTATAAAAAAATTTATAAAAGAAAGTGGAAATAGACAAATCTCAGATAGAGAATTCATTACCTTTTTGGGTTAGTGATTGTACATCGGATTGTAATGCAGAGTTGGTAGCAGCTGTGCAATTCTCAATCCTTTCCAATCTCAGAGCTGGTACATGTTGGATTTTAGTGCAACCATGTCTACGTAATTTCTTAGATTTCCACTTTATGTATGCTTGTCTTCTATAATTCTTTTTCTCGAAGCGTTTTTCTTCAAGATCATATGCAGAAGGATGAGAAAGAATAGCAGAGAGAGGTAGTACTGAGGAAGTTGGTTGAGAAGTGGAAACATTTGCTGTTCCACTTATACCACGAAGTCGAGTGACTGTGAGATTATAGTTCTCATTAAAGCTGTCTTGATAAGAAGATGTTCTATTTGAGCTTGATCTAAGATCAATATCATTAGGTTGAGGGCAGCTCTTGATATGAGAAGTATGGATTTCAGGGATACATGTAAAATTGATGGAAGGCGAACTGTGAGAGTGAGCATAAACCTCGTCAATATTAGAGGTTAATAGGAGCTGGTTATGATTTGATTGATTTAAGGTCCTTAAATGAGAACTATCTAATCCATGCATAGATGCGACATTGGAAGAGGATAAATGTTTAGAAACAGGGACAACTTCATTAGTATAATTGTCATGATCCTTCCTAATGATGTTACTATTTGGGTCTGTCATAAAGTGGAAGGTGGGACGAATTAGATGAGCGTTATTTCCTGAGGTCTGAATATTGACATATGTAGTATCAGAATGCATATGGATTGGATTAGCAGGATGAGCCTGAGAAAATGGGAGGTTTGTTGATAGCTCTTCAGATTGTTCTATTGTATGAGAGCTATTTGCGTTCCTTTTTAATGAAACCTCAGCATTGTAACATTCATCGAGCCACTCATCTACTAAACTAAAGGGTTTATTTACATTCCTTTTTCTTTTCATTTTAATGAAAGTAGGAGTAATAAAATGTCACTAATGATAGCTAATGAAGAGAGTAAAGCTAACTTCTATACATATGAAATCCAAACTGTTAGATACAAGCAGCTGACCAAGAGATACAAACATGAGATTAATTGTTTCAGACCGTCATATTCAACGAATTAGAGTGATTAAATAGTAAGAGGCAAAATCTGAGAAAGAAAAATCATATCAGCATAGAGATTCAGTTATGATATTCTCCAGGGTGTAGTCAAGCAGAACAAAACTTAAGCACGAAAATTGTAAGATGTAGTGAAGGAATAGAAGGAATAACCTTGAATTGAAGCAATTCCTTAATATGAATCTGCCAACCCCAAACCAAAGCTTCTTTAGCACCGACTCTTTTAAATCGTAACTAAACCCCTGAAAAAGGTTGGCAACCAAAATAAATTGTACAAGAAAGGCATCAATGTAAAACTATACAAATTATCCAATATGTTTAAACTATACTCAGATGAGAAAAAATTAGACAGAGGCGAAAATATAATTAGGCACACTTTAAATGAATGTGAATCTGTTAAGGAGAAAAGTAGCTGAAATATTAAGAAATACCACCCACCTACACCTACCCTCAAGCTTGTATCTGAGGATTTCGAATATTATATTAGAAGCTGAACAACAACAAGCACAAGAATCTAATCCAATTAGAGGAATGATAGACACACTAACTATTAATTTTTCTAATAAACCTGATACAATGAATCTAATCCAATTTTTGTGCCTGTATAGTATAGGTGTTTCCGTTTGTTTTTGACCACCAAGAATCCTTTTTGTTGTTGGAATCCTTTTTGTAATAAAAATTTGTAATTTATTAGTAATTTTTTCTTTAAAAACAGCTATAGTTTATTTGGTAGTTATAATATTTAAGAGTGTTATGGGAGATTATGTTAGCAAATCTGATTAGAAGAATAAAAATTAATTTTTAAGGACAAAATTAAAAATTCATAAAATGACACAATATTTATTCCAACTACCACCTCTCTCCATTTCCTATACATATATAAAAAGCAGTTATAGGAAGTTAGAAAGCCAAATATATATTACGTACATAGAAAGCTAAAGTCCAACTTGCATATATATATGATTATGCATGTCCGCCTATTCCACAACTTCTGTCCGTCTCACTCACTGCCGTGTCCAACTTGCAAATCCACGACTTTAGACCCCAAAAACATGGATACAAGTAATTACCAAGTATCAGACCATTCCTTTGCTCTATCAACAACCAAAATCTATTTCACCTACACAACCTTCTATCCCATCCTATCCACCACTCAAAAATACCATATTCGTTGAATTGGAGGAAAAAAAATAGGAGAACTTACAATCTATGGACTTGATACTCGCAAGGGAACTTAAAAGTGATAACAAAAAAAGTAAGGGAAAAAAAATTCAGTCGACAAGTAATAACTGAAAGCAAACGAACTTACAACTGAAATCTGTGAACGCTAAATCAGAGGCTCTTCTGCACCAATTCTTTCAAAGTGCAATTAAACCCCTGAAGAAATTTGGCAACGAAAATAGAAAGTATATAGATTATCCAATCTCTTCAAGACTGGTGGGGAAAACTATTAGGCACAGAATATGAGTAGTTACCTTTACTCGGAGATGTTACAGAGCAAAATGAGGAAGAAGCGTTGATTTTTTTTGTGAGCAGTGTTTGTGTTCCTAATGTATATAAAGACACAAAATTGATGAGTTGTTAGAGATTTTTCTTCTCACTTTCGATAATTTGTGAACTGGCAAATGAAAAGGAAGGCAAAAGGACAAACCCTATATCTCTAATAATAGGTGGAAATCATAGCTCATACCTGACTCTTTGTGGAATAATCGCATAGTTGGGATATGGATGAGCAGCCACAATTGACTCTTTCTGGAACAATAGCACGATTGGGATATGGATGAGCGGCCATATTTTGGGGGAAAAGATGGTCAAATTATTGACCAGGTGTTGGAGCAGATAAGTTGGTACTTTTGTTTGTCCGATCCAGGAAGAAAACAAAAGAGAAACAAAGGAATGGAAACAGAGAGGGAGGGACGAAGGAGAAAATGTAGAGCTTAACATGAAAAGAAAATGAAATCTGCAAATATGCTTCTTCTGAAGCAAAAAGAAAACGAAACGGAAAGAACGGGAAAGAGAGGGCAAGAATGCTAGGGAAAAAGTCAAAAACACTTCTAAACAATTGGCTACTGATGGAAGAATTGAAGTTGTACTTTTCTTCGTTGAACCAGCAAGAAAAAAAAGGAGAAATAAAGAAACGGGAAACAGAGAGAAAGAAACGAAGAAGAAAACAAAGATGATGGGCTAAAGTTGTAAAATGAAGTGCAAATGAACATGAATTCCTTCCCTGCCATCGGTGCTAAAGTTGTTTGACTTTTTGGCTTCTTGTCTTTCATAATGGAGACAAAGAATAAGTGGAGAACAGAGCCAATGCCAACTACCGGTTTCTTTGGTCTAAGGAAAGAGGGGAAGAGACGTGAAAGACTGAGAAGTAAAAGCAAAAGAATATGCGCGGAAGAGACGTGAAAGACTGAGAAGTAAAGCAAAAGAATATGCGCAAAAAGTCAGGCATAACCCTCAATAGTTTGTTACTGTTTTGTGGCTAGTTATTTTTCTTTGGGCAAGATAGTAATTTCATGTAAAAAGGCCAAAATGCCCTCAACAGTGATATACTATTAGCGGAAGTAGTAAACATTCCCAGGACATAAAAGGAAGAAAAATTTTCTCCCTCCTCTAATGCCGCCAGGTGGATCAATGTGGGAGAAGAAGTCTTAGGCCTTGCTTGGATTGAAGGTTTTCGTCGGAAAATATTATCGTTTTCCGTGATCACATTTTCCTATCACCTTTTTCCCTCACATATATCAAATCGCTACAGTAATTTTTCCATGAAAAATGACGGAAAATGCAATCCAAACACAACCTTAGCTTTTTCTATATATGTAAGATATGAATAGGAATATTCCTATTTTACGATGAAACAAATATTTACAGACAAGTGTGAGGTCTTTCCAAAAGACTTAACTATGTGGATTTCCATTTTCCACAAAAATAAGATCAAATATATTTTATAATTCACCGACAACTGGTCCCAGTCCCGAGTTACAGTCGATGATCTGAATCTTCGTACAAATTTATCTATTCATGAGTCTTAACAGACCGCGTCCACACGATCCAACAACCGGGTCGTCAGGCCCAACTGAGTAGGAGCTGACCGAGCAGTTATTTTGAACAGTCAGCAAACTCGTCCTCGAGAATAACGGCGTCAGCGTCCCACCATAAATCGCCGTCAGTCTCCGTCACAGTTTCCAGCGGAGTCTTCACTCTCCGCACGTCACCTACCGTTAAAGCCCCGCTGACGTCATCCCTAACGTAAACCTTATCAACACCGCCGGATTTCAGACCGACCACCTTCGCCGGCGAGCTTGACAGGCCCCATTCCGCGTATAGAGCTGGCTTTTGACCTCCCATTCTCGTGTCATAGGCACCCAGTACGACGCCGTTGCTATTATCACCCGCCTTAGCTGACAAAACCACCGGGCGAGACGGCACCGCCGCCACAAAAGCCTCCGGAGAATCACCCAAGCCACCAAAAGCATCGCTTATCTTCTTCTCTTTATCAAAATCCCACAACGAAACAACGCTGTCGGAATCCGAATAATCATCAAAAGAATCGAAACCTAAGCTTAATCCTAAACTGTCCCACAGCTTAACAACGCCGTTTCCGGCGCCAAAATCTGGCCATGCCAATCCCTCGCAACCACCGGAGCGTTCATTCTGGCGGTGGCGTCGGATTCTCAAATGACCATTTTGCCCCTGGCTTTTGTAATAATTAGTCGAGCCCTTAAGGCGAAAATCTCTATCGCCTGAGAAAGGATTAAGAAACGACGCCGTAGAAGTCGGGCTGTCGTCGTCATCCTCGCTATCGGATGAGGCCCGCGACGAATCATTGGTGGAATCATCATCGTCGCTGAGGTCCAAATCAATGTCGAGGTGTTGGAGGAGGGATTCCGAAGAGGATTTGATCCTGCGAATGTGAATGACTTTGATTCTTTTAATGATGCTGCTGAAAGTTGCAAAAATGGCTATAATTACTGCACCCCATTTCCAGAAACTGTACACTTGGGTGGTTAAGTTGGAGAGAGAGAAGACTCCAGAAATTAAAGATGGGTTTTGCAGGCAATCCATTCCAGCAGCTCCAAAATCGGTTATTATGCTGATTTCTGGGATTTCCATTTATATTGAACTCCCTTGTTTCTTTCTACGTATGTGTATATATGTGTATAAAAGCGTGAATGGCTGGGTATGAAGAACGTGTTGAAATGGGGAAGATGCTTGGAATGATGCCGAGTAGAGAGAGAAGAAAAGGAGGACGAAGAAGAAGAAGAGGAGGAGGCGTGAAGTGGAAGGAGAGAGAGGTCTGGACGGAGTAGAGAATGGTGTTTATAATGGCGTATTAGCTTAGGGAGGTGGATACTAAATTGACATTTTCATTTTTTTTTATCTCCCAATAATGAAAAAATATATATATTATTAGAGGAAGAAGACAAAACAATGGTAAAATACTCTTATAAAATGTTAATGGTAGTCCAAAATCCAAATTTTGATAATCGCATTTCTACTATTTATCTACATTTTACTAGTATAATTTTTGCTATTAAAAATAAAATATGGAAGTATCATTTAAGATAAAAAAAAAAAGGTAACTTGTCATTAACAATCGGTAATTGCGTGCTCTTCTTGGCATGCAACCTAACTCTTTAGGGGACTTTATTGTATATTAATTTACATTTATGTTAACCTTTATTGTAAATGCGTATGTCACTCATTTTTTTTGTTCAAACGGGATTTTAAGGAGTAAGGTTTGAGAGTCAAATCACGAATTTCATCTTTTGTTTTTTGGTTAATATTTGTATTAACTAAGTTAAGCTCTCGAGAGACCAATAATTTCAAATAACACTAGGAGAAATTTTGGAGAATTGGATTTCGGTTATAGTCTTTGAAATGCTGTCTTGATAAAACACGATTTTTGGGAGGAATTAAGGGTCTGTGGATAAAATAGTGGATACGATTTTCGGTTTGTTCATGATAGTGATGATGTGGAGGATGATGATGGGTCTAGAGGAGGAAACTGTTGGGACAAGTCAGAAAAGAGCAAAGGCGAGTAGCGAAGACAATGGTGGGACGATCTAGTCATGAGATTCCAACGATCACAAAATCCGGGTAGCGTATGACTCAGCACCTGGCGGAGGCATCTCCAATTTTGCGGTGGTTGAAATTTACTGAGAATTCTGACCATTCACACGTTGCCACGCCATTACAGCGCGTTTGCTTCAAGTTTGAACATGACTTGACTCTCGATTTTAATACTCTGACCAGCAGCAGAAATATAAAATATGTTGCTTTTTGATTTTCTATGATGTACTTGTGTGAAATAAATATATTTTTTTAATGTTGGTTGTCTGTGCAGGGCAACAGATGATGTCTATATGTTCTATTGTTTAGAGGTTGTAACGTTTTTTTTAGGCAAAAGAAAAAAAAAAGTTTGCGTGAATTCGATTAATTTCGATTATTATTACGAGTCCTCAGGACTATACATAATAATATAGATCATTTATAAAATTTTTTATAAATGATTCATTAATACAATTATCATATCGATAACAAATGCATGATGTTTTGTACTTTTAAATTTCTTATAAATGATTTATCAATAAAATTTGAATGCATAACGTTTTGTGATAAAATTACTCGTTCTCACTGATTGATTCAATTTTTTATGGCTACACCATAACGTTGGTGTCAATCACTCCAAGCACACGCACTGTTGGTGGAAACGAGGGAATGGACGGCATAAGATTTACCACGTTGGGCAGTTTTTTCGTAAATTAGTACGGTTTTTTTTTGTCAGAAAATTAGTACGGTTTTGACTTTTGGTTGAATCAGTTAATGCTTATCCAAGAAGATGCAAGAACCGCCAAGACGACGAGGCTTATCGGTATTTTCTTCAAAGTTAGGCTGTGGAAAAGCTTATAGAGGTTCAATAATTCTTTTTTTTTTTTTCCAAACGATAATTATAGAGGTTCAATAATTCACTTGCCATTCTTTTCATTGAAGGATACTAGGATTTACATGACACCACCATTTTGCTTGTTATCCCTTGCTCAAGTTCTTTTTTTTTTTTTTTGTTTAGTTTAGAAAGTTAAGGTTGTGTTTGGATTGCATTTTTCGTGATTTTTTATGAAAAAATTATTGTAGTGATTTGATGTATGTGAGGGAAAAAAGTAATAGGAAAATGTGATCACGAAAAATGACGTAATTTTTTAACGGAAACCGGCAATCCAAACAAGGCCTAAAATTGTCCGTTTGGACCGTTTTTTCTGAAATATTTTTTTTTATTGAAAGTACTTTCTGTGAATGTTTATTTGAGAACAGTTCCAAAGCTATCTTGCCCTCAAAAAGGTTATAGAAATAGCCTTTTGTTTTGTAATTTGAGCTCTAATGAAGTAGACTTTGCATTTGTTAACGAGGTCACCCAAAACCTTTTTCGATCTTGACCATCCAACACTGAATACTATGGAAATCTTTTGTGACCTTTAGTACAACAGAAATCTATTTATTGTAGCCGATGACCAGTCTAGGGCTGTCCTCCCTTGACACGGAGTTCAGATGCTAGGAATATGCTAAAAAATGAAGCACAGACCAAGAAATTAAGATAAGAATTTGGCATATATCTAAATGATCTGAGGTGTAAGTGAAGCTGTCGTGTTCTCTCAAAAAAAAAAAAAACTGTCGTGTTCATTCGCGAAATTAGTTCTATCTATTCTGAGTTCATTGAACAAGCAAAGAAGGATACTACAACTATAAAATATATCCACATTTCTGTGTTTGTAGTTCATGTCAGAAACAACAATTGGAACACGTTCGGATTATTGTTTTCTAAAATTTTTTTTAAAAAAAATGAACTGTAACAATTTGATGGGTGTAAAGTAATAAAGTGATTAATAAAAAATTTAAAAATTTAAAAAAATGACAATCCAAACAAAGTTTGTCACATTGGTTTTGAAATTCACGAGCAAGATTGAACTAACATATCATCATCATTTTTGTGGGTGTTTTTTTCCCCGGAGAGAGAAGGGGGGGGGGTGGAAGCAGACAGGGGAATGGAACCAAGGAATATGAATATGCAAAGTACACATTTTGGTCCTGGATTCTACTAATTTCCAAAAAGATCAGGCTTGAACATTCAAAGCCTT